ATAAAACTTGTTCAAATGTCGGAATGAAATATTGTCAACGGTTTAGTGTCTTGCAAGGTTTGTAAGTAGAAATAAAACTTGTTCAAATGTCGGAATGAAATATTGTCAACGGTTTAGTGTCTTGCAAGGTTTGTAAGTAGAAATATAACTTGTTCAAATATTGGAATGAAATATTGTCGAAGGTTTAGTGTCTTGCAAGTTTTGTAAATAGAAATAAAACTTGTTCATATGTCGGAATGAAATATTGTCGATGGTTTAGTGTCTTGCAAGGTTTGTAAGTAGAAATATAACTTGTTCAAATATTGGAATGAAATATTGTCGACGGTTTAGTGTATTGCAAGGTTTGTAAGTAGAAATAAAACTTGTTCAAATGTCGGAATGAAATATTGTCGACAGTTTAGTGTCTTGCAAGGTTTGTAAGTAGAAATAAAACTTGTTCAAATGTCGGAATGAAATATTGTCGACGGTTTAGTGTCTTGCAAGGTTTGTAGTAGAAATAAAACTTGTTCATATGTCGGAATGAAATATTGTCGATGGTTTAGTGTCTTGCAAGGTTTGTAAGTAGAAATAAAACTTGTTCAAATGTCGGAATGAAATATTGTCGATGGTTTAGTGTCTTGCAAGCTTTGTGAGTAGAAATAAAACTTGTTCAAATATTGGAATGAAACATTGTCGCCAGTTTAGTAACTTGCAAGGTTTGTAAGTAGAAATAAAACTTATTCAAATGTTGGAATGAAATATATGTGACTATTACTAATAATAAATACTTTTGTTTCTTTATCCTGTTTTTTAGATAAATAGTTCTAAGAAAGAAACAGCTGATGTCTTAGCTAAGTTGCCAGAGGATGAACTTCAAAAGTTACTGGAAGAAGCAGTTACATTTAACAGACCTAGGAGTACAGACAGTTATTTGTTACACAGATTGAAGTTAGAGCACGCCGATTCTCGTGGAGATGTCACTAAACATTCCTTGTGTCGTGGAGTGGAAGATGGTGTTTCCCAGTCAACAAATATTACCCATTTTTTAAACAACAAAAAGAATCTCTTACAACTAAAGAATTTCCATAGTTGTGATTCTGAAGAGAGTTTTAATGGACCTGTTGTAACATCTTGTGATTTTAATGTAAAGCATGAAGGATCGTGTGTATGTGAAAACAGTGGGGAAGAAGATAAAATACAAAAAAGTATTGATGATAATTCTCAGAGTTTTCATTCTCACTCTTTACAAGATCTGTACAATTCAAGGTTAAGTGAACAGACTGAATTCATGCGTGCTGCTGGAATTGGCCGTGGTATAAAAAGTGCTAGACCTGTGCGGACAAACCCGTTCACTCATTTTCCTCATACAGGTGTAGTAAAAAAGAACATATCTAATGAGAACAAAGATGAGTCCTCAAACAGTCTCTCACTTAATAGTTTGCCAATAATAAAATCAAACCAACCAGTAGAATCATTGGAGCTTTGTGATACGAGTTGTAAAGAATATTTAGGTGATAATTGTGATTATCAAAAATTGACTAACAAGGACACGGCTAACGAAGAGAATATTTCAATTAATGTACATAAAGATAGTTATTCAAAAAATATTAAAGATTCTAGTCTTGAAATGGTCAAGTTAACTAGTAAAACTCTTGAAGGTAATTCCAGTTGTTGTGATAATGTAGATATTGACAGTTGTTCCATAGTTAAATGTAAGTCTTCAGTTCAAAGCATGTCGTATACAGATACATCAACAGCTGTTGAACATGCTGAAATACAGGAACATCAACAGCAAAATAGTTTCAAATGTTTGCCCAAAGAAGTTGAGTTAAAAACATGTACAGATGAAATTAGTACAAGTGAAAAGACTGACAAACCTCCAGTTCTTAAAACAGCAATGAGTGAAAATTTTGCTGCCATGGTTTCTCAGACCCTTAGTGTTTCAGATAAAAGATCTAACAGATCAGCAGAAGTGGATGAGAAAAACTACCTATTTCTCTTCAGGTAAAACACTACTGAGATTTATTTATAAATAATTTTAGTTACTTGGGAGAAAATGTAGCGCTACCTTTTTCTGTTTGTCACTTAATGTTACAAACTCTTTCTTGTAATTGAACATTTGTAACAAATCTTACTAATTAAATGCAGAAAGCTGGAAAATTGTCAGAAACCAACATACTAGATTACAAACTTGTTGCATTAAAGTATGACATCACCAGTACAAAAGCATTCCTGCTCAAACTGTTTTCAACATTAAATATATCTGTTTATAGGATTTCCCCTATATTTTCATTTTTTCCCCATAGCTCTTTCAAATAATTTTTGCAAAACATTAAGTCAATTTGATGTGTTAATTGTGTTACATCAAGTTTTTACTCAAAAATATTTTAGACTTGAGATTTTGTCATTTCGTAACATTTATTTAGTGTATTTGAAGAAGAAAAATCAAAAAATGCTCAAATTTTGATATCTGTACAGGTCTGATGAGTGTTGCTTGTACAGTGCACTTGTTAATTTTCTTATTCTTTTTTCCAAAAGAATAGCTTTAAATTAGCTAAAAAGCTATTATCCATTTCCGATTTTCAAGCAGTTTCTTTGATTTTTCTGCTTAGTTTTTGTGTGTGCCATAGTTACCATGCTTCTATAGATGTCAAGTGGTTTGATCATTTGCTAATAAAACACAGCCTTAGAAAGAGCTATAAATAAAGTTTAACTATGATTGGATAGAGCAAGTTAATATTTGTAGCTCCTGTAGCATTGGTGAAAAGCATTGAGTGGGAAGGTTTGAAGATTTAGGAACAAACAACAGAGCTGTGAAAGTTTTTTTAGTTTCTGTAAACAATTGTTTGTTCTGTAAAGAGTTTGTATGTTAAATTATATATGTGAAAGTTAGACATTTTTTTCAGTGGGAAGACGTCAGATAAGCCTATTTAGGTTTAGTGTATATATATGTGAAAGTTATACATTTTCTTCAGTGGGAAGACATCAGTTAAGCCTATTTAGGTTTAGTGAGTAAGATGGACAATGGCAAAAGATTCAGATGTCTAAATCCTTATTTATTGAATTTTTTTATCATATTCAAACAATGCAGGTGAATAAATTAGCTTATTTATAATTACAATTATATGTTTTAAAACATTTCTACTTTTATTAGTGATAGTAAAATATGTTTTAATTATTTGATTATTAGTTCATTTGATTTACATAAATCAGTGGGGTATTACTACATATTTGAAAACCAAACAAAATGACAACCTTATGATTGTCCCTTGACATGATCGAGTTGTTAAGTAAGAAGTGTTCATATTATCTTTAAGACAAATTTGTGCCAAAAGTTTTTCACTAAAATGTTTTTTCCCCACAAAAAGCATTTATCGTTTCTTTATAGTATAAGTTTTTGATTTAATTGTACCACAATGGTCTTTGTATGACTTGTAAGATTGATTAGTACATTACAGCCAAAATTATAAGATAGTGGCACATCAGCTTATATCAGGCCTCGACATATCCCAGGCACCAGGTCACCATGGTGACTAAAAATTTCATCGTGGTGTCTAGTAGTTTTTCTCATCTTATCTGTGCATAGGGTTGGGCTAAATAGAACTTGAATCTAGAAGAGTTAAGAGTTCTGGACTGTTGGAAGTCCAGAACTGTTTTCTCCTTTTCAGAGTCCTAAATCGATCTTTGTTTCTAGGATTTTAATGGTGGATTCAGGAATGAAGTGCTACAGCTGCACAACATGCTACTAATTTCATGCTATTTTGTTATCCTTCTTTCTCTCAATTCAACCAATCAGTGTGCATGTTTAGACTTGTATTGGACCAAAGGCAGTTACTTCAGGCAATATTATCAAGTGGTTGTTGATATTATGTGATTGTTAGCATACGCTCGTTGGTGTGAAAGTGGATAAATATTCACTGGTCCGGGGAAAGCAAAAATTGCAGATAACAGAAACGGTGGATAATCGAGGTGCTGGTGTAGCTCACTAGCTAGCCCGTTGTTTAACCCAGATAAACATTTTATTATATTTAAGTTCCTTGTTTTAAATTAAAATTTTGTTTTGTTATTTAATCACATTATCAGGAAAAATTATAAAAAGTTGTCATAATCGTAAAAGCCAAGTGTCGGTCGGACAGTCAGTCAGTCGGGCTCAATTTCTCCAAATTTCGTGAGTTACAAGAGTCCAATTTAACTTTTTCTTCTAAAATACTTTCTAATTTGATTGCCCGTTTTCGTTTTAGTTGCATTTAATTGCTAATATAGGCGTAAGTAACTAAATTTCAGCACTTTTTCTGCTATAGACACAGAAGTGCATTCACACCCTATTGACTCCTGTGAAAAATAAGTCAAAACTTAGTGCAAATCTATGCTTAGGAATTATTACAAAAAAGCCTTTGTTAAAATACACTGAAGATATCAATTATCTGTAGGGAAGAGGACAATGCGTAACTGGGCAACACCCCAATACAACCTCAACATGCATCTGTGGTTAAAGGATGTCCGCTGTGCAGCGGAGAACAGTTGAGTGAAATCTTAATATGTATTTTGTGTGTTTTCGTATATTATCTTTCAAGTCACTAGTCAAATGAAGTTAACCAAGCTACAAATATTTTGTATTCCTGTCTTAACAGCTAAAAATAAAAGAGGCAAGGCTAGGCTTGAACCAGATAACCCCGGATATCATGCAACTCCTGAACTTTTGCAACCAAAATTAATTTCTGAGCAACAATTTCTCCAAAACGTGTAGGTTATTGTCTAGAATTGTAATGGTACAATTATTCCGAGAAAATATGTGAAAAAGAATAACTGCGGATAATCGAGGCAGTAGAGTAGCCCCATTTCCCGGTACAAACAGTAGTAGAGTTATATTAGGCACACCTGGCTCCTGAGATTTGGAGCTGGCTCCTAGATCTGAAAATATTTGTCGAGGCCTGGCTTGGCTCATTGAGACATCCACATAAAACTAAGTATTTCTTGTTTCTATCAATGCATTTATGGAAAGAAAGTTAAACTTGTATGAAAGATTTATAGCTGGTTTGTGTTGTGTGAAAAACCAATCCTTTAAGACAATAATAATTGACTATTTGGGAAAAACTATCGTATCACAATTAAACACAAAAATAATGACGTATTATTAGTTTTTGTCGTGCATACATCTTTCTACACTAGTTTTGAAAACATGTTTATGGTTATTAATCTTCATATTAGACCCCCAACACCCCACTCCTAAATTAATAAATAAATAACACAAGAGCCAAAACTAGTTGAAAAGCAAATATCTCTACCTAAAGTAGGAGTTTTGTGACAGCAAAATAAAATGTTTTGTATTTTTGGGAGTTAATAAGACTTCGAGGATTGACATCAGTATCATTTAAGTTCAGAATTTAAGTGTTAAAGCATAAAGTTTTTTTGTTTTTCATGTAAACTGATGTTTTTATCATTTTTATTGAAGCTCTGAAAGCTTCTCACTTACAAGGGTTAAAATATAAGGCATTGAATGACTGTAAGCCTAACAAGGGTTAAACTTTTTTTTGATTGCTGAAACATTAATACAATCCCTTGGTGCATTATGAAACTTCCATCCATGTATCTATACCTCCATATGTTTGGTGGTTTTTCAGTGTTACATAATTATTGTAATATTTACACATCAATGGTATATGTACACACGACACCGAATACTTACAGGAGTGTAGATAGAGATAATTTTCTTTATTTAACCATCTCTCCATAATATCTTGTAATATTATGTTTCTGGACAAAACTTTTGTAATTATTTTGTTGGGAGTCAGAATATCATTCAATCAGATTATATTCTGGTGAATTGCCGAATCAGAGAATAAAAGGTTGTAAAAATTCATTTGTATTTTGTATTTTGGACAGGTAAAATATTAACGTACGACATACACAAGTACAAGATGTCAGTTTCTTGACATTTTGTAACATTGTGTAAAGCCCTGGCATTATTGGTCAGTAAGTCTAGAATCAAGGAAACTGACCATTTTCATAGTACATGAAACTAAGATTTCTCTTACTAACCTGTAAACACAATCACAATTGTTTATGGTAATTTATTCATGGCCAAGTTAAATATAGCCAGTGTTATTCCTAATGCTGTGTTCTTGTGCCATAATTAAAAGTTTGTGTTTTTAACTTTAAACTTTTCTTATTGAAATTGTGTTACGTCTTACTACTTTACAATAATAAGTATTATTCCCATGATAATAAATCTACAGTGTGATGTAGAATGAACTGTTACCTGCATCGTGGCTCATTTAACCAATAAGTAATGGGATTATAACATTGCCTCTTAGTACGCTTGCCAACCAGGTAAGTTTGAATGGATTTTTCCTCTTGTCAGTTTAAATTATTATTTGTTCTTGGTATTGGGTAGTAAGCTTTGTTATTCACTGCATAAAAAAACATGTATTTAATTTGTGTTTTCTAATCTGTCTGCTTTCATTACACAGCTGATCTATTCAAAATCATCAGATCCAATTAATGATCTTAAGATTACATACGTCCATGGAACAAGTATTGGAGAACCTGAATGCATTAGTTGGGCTTTAGGTAATCATCCTTCTGTGGAGTCAGTCATTAGTGGTAAGTGATAGATAGTTTTTAAAAAGTTACTGTAACAGGTGTTTTGGGCATTTCCCTTTGCTGTTTGTTTATATTTTTACCTTTGTGGTAGTTAAAATGAAAGTTTAATAGATTACATTCAACTAATTTATTATTTTCACAGGAAATTTGTGAATAATCAGTAACACTAATTTTGATGATCTGATTATTTTCGTGAGTCAATATAATAATTTGTAAAAACTATTTCAATTAATTGGATAGTTGAAATAATCAGTAACACTGATTTTGATGATCTGATTATTTAACATGACAATCGGTATGATCAATTAATCGAGCGAATCACCCATTTGTAGTGACCTATGTTTGAGTGCTATTGAAGAGTAACCTTTACATTGTCAGGAGAAAAACCACTTTTCAAAGGCATGCAACCTTTTTTTGCAAGGAGTGTTTAATATGTAGCCATGAGAGAAAGAAATGGAACCGTTAGAATTTTAGGCTTGTAAGACCAGTTCAAATGCTACCCATCTGAATGATGTGTTAACAGCAGTCGTATTGATTACTAGAAATCAACTGAGACATGTTCACAGCATGTTACTGAACTGTGATGACCTCCAATCAATATGGCAGTCCTCAAGTCCTGCAGAAAATAGTTCATCAGATACAATTTAGGTCAGGTTCAAATTTGCTAAAACACGTGCTAATAATTAATATCCAATCTTGTCTATATTTACATGAGCTTTAAAAAAATCATAAGTGACCTTGAAAACAAAAGACAACTGAAGAACTGATGTTCAGGTTATTAACTCTTTCAACAAGGCTCGGACTCTGGGACCGACCATGTAACCATTTTGTGCTTGTTATAGTTTTCATGCTATAACTTTTAAATTAGTAAGCAAATGTTAACAAAATTTGGCAGATTACCAGTAAACATTACAATGCTTTAATATGCAAAATATAAAATTTTTTGTTTTTATTAAGTCTTAAGGTTTGTAAAGCAATGTTTTTTTCATGCTTTTTTTTTTCTTTTCACATGTTGCCTATCTATCATGCAACGTAATATTTATTTTAAGATTAGAAATACTTTTATGCATCATAAAATTTTGTAATTTCACATGTGAAATCTTTATAATGTCCAGATAGTTATCAAATGTTCCTTAAGAAAAAACTTTATAATTTATCTGTTCTTTTCAGTAATTAATCTCTGTACGGGTTTTGTAGATTTGACCGATCTCACAACCACCATAAAAAATAAGGAAATATAAATTATGCCTCCTTCATTCTAGAATGAACACAAATTATAACACAAAAACATAAATGTTTAGACTAAATAGCTTAAATCTCATAACATTATACATTTATTTATTATTTTTATTATATTGACCTTTCAGCTGTACCTGGCTAGCAATGCAGAAGTTACAATAACACGGCTCACACACGTGCACTCGTGTTACTGT